AGTTACATGCATATATACACAGACACACAGGTGCATACACACACCTGCATTCAGTCATGTAACATAGCTTTAGCAAAAACCTGAGCTAACCAGAGGCTAGCCTGCTTTTAATAACCTTTTATTGATGCTCTAACTTTTAAAGAGCTCCCATCTGAAATAGCTTACAGTAAGTATTAAAAATGAAGTAGCAAAGCCTTCTAGAAGACACCTATTTAAAATTATCTCACAAATATTTCAGCATAATTGAAGGAATTATAATCCTTTTTCCCCCCAAATTCCAAGTCTTCCATTAAGTCAATTAAAAATGCATTTATGAGCTTGGCTTACAGCAAAATCAAGAGCAATAAGCGGTGGCTGTTATGGAGAACAGCTCTCTGGGAAGAATTTTTCTGATATGTAACACAGGCAGAAGAGGCTCAATAATGCCTTGGGTCAAATTTTGTTGATGAACATTACCTTAGTTTCCTGGCTGAAATCCCCTCTGGCTTCTAAAAATCCTATTTCATTTCAAGGTAAATTTTGTCTGAGAAATAAATACAGAAACCCATGCAGTAAGGTTGGTTTCACACAGAACTTAAGAAACGCTGAAGTGTGGGGTCCAAGACAACATTTACTTTGTTCCTTGGTATTTGGGCACATGTCCTTTAAATCCCCATGGATGAGTGGGTTCAAACTTCAAACCTTGAGAATTGGGAGAGTTTTTTTCTTTTACCTAGTCAGAAACAAGCATCCCCTAATTCAAGGTGCTCCACAGGTTACTGCATGAATCTCAAGCTCTGGGAGTACCAACAGAAAATTCTAACACCTCTGAAAAACATGCAAGAACAAAAATACCAGAGGCAGAGTCATGTCTGGTTTACAAACACAACATGCTGATATTGTTTTAGTGGTGGCGCTGGGGTCTTTAAATGCACCTGTTCCTAAAATCTTGATTTTTGCTCTAGCACTTCTGAGTAAAATCCAACACGATTTGCAGGTAAAAATTTGCATTTTAGCATGAAACTTTGAAACTCATTAGTGAAGACAGTGACTTTTAAATACAAAACACCACTTCTGTCTTTGAAAGCCCCCGAGATGTAAATCACTGGAGATGGGGAAAGCAGTCCCAAGAAATATCCTGATGTAACCTGTTCCCATTCCCTTGCCATGCTCTTTGCAAGGGAGATGATACCAGGCTGCAACCTCAGGCTGAGTGGCTGTGGCTCAGCTTACACTTGCTTTTTTTCCTGTATGTTGGTCCTTTGTGTTTGGAGATGAAAGGCGCAGTGCGACAGAGAGGCCTCTCCTCTCTCCTTTAGGAACTGCCTTCTCATCTCTGGTTTTCCACAGTTCAAACGTAAGACTTTGAAAAAGATTTCAAAGCTGCATTTTGTATATGGAAATTCATGGCTCCAGGCAGGTTCATGATCAGCCCTGAAATTTCAAGCTTAAGACTAAGAACCTGCAGGCTAAATAGAACTCCTTTTACTTGTGCTTTGCCCTTCTCTGTTTTTTCTGTTTAAAGCCATCAATAGGAATAAGATGATGCCAATTTTCATGGATCATCTATATAGTTTTACTTCAGGTAGATATTTCAATTTTCTTGTAAAAACACTGGGTTAAGGAAATACGAATACAAGCCATTTGGATAAGCTACAAAAATCGAATTCCAGCTGCTAGCTATCAAACATAAGTGACGTTACACATGCTTAGGAAACTGAACTCTGTACACCTAGATGGTAGCTGGAGGTATCTCAGTAATCCCCAGAGGGGGGAAGTATCCAAACCACTTTCAAGGCAGTTGGAGCAGGAATATCATGCCATACCTTGGGCTTGGGGATGGGGTCATTTCACATGTGAAGAACTGGGGAAAAAAATAACAAAAAACACTCCACCAACTGAAAGCGTTGTGGTCCTCAAAACAGTTCTCACTGCTCAACAGCAGTAGGGTATTTTATAAACATTAGCTACGTGCTTATATATGTAGATAACACCCTACCAGATTCCTTCAAGGTTTGCAGGCATGGTGGAAGCCAAGACCAAGTTTATCTGCAGTGGAAGCTCTTGGAGCAAGAGGGGTGCAGACAGCAGGAGCAGGGCAGGGAAAGGATGGGCTGTTTTGCCTGGACATAGCAGCAGGAGACCAGAGGCAGCCACCCACCCCCTGCAACTGCCCCGTCACCCATGGCAAGAGGCACCCAGTCAGTCTCTGGAGGCCAAAAGGTAGCAGAGGAGGGGGACACAATGAAAGGATACGCTGGGTTGGGTTTGTAGGTCAAGCTGGGAAACCTCGGTTTGTATTTCTTGTTGATTTTTCATTAGTGCGCTTTTTATCCTTGGCCTGCCACACTCCTGCCAGAGGCTGTTTCCAAGTCCTAGTTTTTAGCATTGCACAAGAAGCCCAGATTGAATTCTATAAAGCAAAAAATGAACATTGGACACCCTGTGAAATGGCACTTTATTTTTTCAGTAAATCAGCCGTAGCAGAGAAGAATCAAAGAAACAATGTGTGCCCCTAGATTTTTTTTTTTTTTAAAGTCAGGAAGGACAGGTTATTGCAAAGCTTACTAGACAGGTAAGAGAAAACTGTTCAAATATCACTGCCTTTCATTACAGGAAGCAGAATAGAAAAATGTTTGAGAAATCAACAGTAAGGCAAGAGTAACCGCAGACCTATGTGGGACAGATGGAGACAGAGGGCTGTGCCTATCTGCTGCAGTTTCACTGATTTATTAGTAAAAAGAGAAATTTCAGGGCCATGAAAATGGACGGAGGGCTGGAACACCTCTCCTACGAAGAAAGGCTGAGATAGTTGGGGTTGTTCAGCCTGGAGAAGAGAAGGCTCCGGGGAGATCATGATGCAACTTCTCTCTATATAAAGGGGGTTTATAGTAAAGTCAGAGAGAGACTTTTTACCAAGGCCTGTAGTGACAAGACAAGGGGCAGTGGTTTGAAGCTGAAAGAGGGTAAGTTTTAGATTGGACATAAGGAAGAAATTTTTTACAATGAGGGTGGTGGGACACTGGATCAGGTTGCCCAGAGAGGTTGTGGATGCCCCATCCCCAGAGACATTCAAGGTCAGGTTGGACAGGGCTTTGAGCAACCTGGTCTCGTGAAAGATGGACCTGCTCATTGGCAGGCAGGTTGGACTAGGTGATCTTTAAAGGTCCCTTCCAACCCAAACCATTCTATCATTCTATGAAATACTAATCCAGGGTGATTTTCCAGCCTTTCTGAGGGATAAAAATACCCATGTTCTTCAGGAGGAAACTGGAGGGCTGGTTACCAGGACGGCCTATACTTCATTTGTCAGGAGCAGAGGCTATCTAGGACTAGCACTCCTATCTAGGCAACTATTTAGGATAGTTTCTAGCTGTCATACATTTCTCCCACTTGCAAGCTGCAGTTAAATAAATAAGATTAGCCAAGATATATGCAGTTCTTCAGGGCTCTGCCAGACCTGGTCTTACATTGTTGATCCATTAGAGAGTTTCCTCCTGCTTTCTGTTTGCACTAATCCACTGGAAACCCAGCCCTGGAGACCTGCCTCACTGACCCCCATATTCATTAAGAATAATTGTTGATACTGTATAATGGAATAGCAGCAGCGCAATTAAAACAGCTCCTTGTCGTGGCAGAGCTTTTATGGGATTGGCAGAGAGTCCTAATGAGATCCCTGAGCCCATTTATCAACCCCCGCAACCCCTACAGCTGGTTTCATCTTTCGCCAGCTGTGTGCCAGTCTGACACTGTGTGGCATGTACAAGTACTACAGCAGCCACTGCCACACAAAACAAGAGGACACGTCCCTCCGCTTCGTTGCCAGCTCCTTAGACTTGGCATCTTAAATGTTTCCTCCTTCCCCCCCGTTTTTTTTTTTTTTTCCTTTTATTCTTCTTCCTCCTACTCCCAACTCCCTGTGAGGAATGGTTTTCATTTAATCCAAGCATGTTTGGCACCAGATTCCTTTTGTCCCGCCCAGGAGTCAAGGGCATTTTGAGGTCTCATTGAACAATAAATAAAGTTTTAGGTCATATTTCTATGCTCACATTGTGGCGGCCTGGTTACCCATCTTGAGCTTTCCACCTTTGGAATCTGATGGCGAGAATGGGGAGAAGACACCTCCTTCTCAAAGCCCCTCTTCACGTCAGTTCTGCATTGTGCTGAGTGAAAATGAATAGCAATGCTTTATCCTCGGAAAGGAGAAATGCTGGATCCAGGCAACTGAATAAAAATATAAATACTGTCAACTTTCAACAAAAATTGATCTTCACTGGGTATGACAGCCACAGACAAGAGAAGGGAAAAAACCGAACCCCTATATACAGAATATAATTAATCTTGAGTCTTTGCGCAACCACCAGAGCTGCCATTCCCACAGCCGCCCATGGGGCAGAGGCAGTAGTTAGCAAGGGGTGCCAAGGGAACCCCTAAAAATCATGCTGCCGTGGGAGCAAGGCTGCTAGGGAGATGATCCAGCAGCACCGAGGGCCTGGGCAAAATCACCTGGGGCAACCGCCCAAGCAGCCCAGATTTTCTGTTCACTTTACAATGGCAAATCCCATCATCTGCTGATGGCATGGAACAAAAGGAGAGCTTCACCCAGGTTTGCAGCGTTTGGTCACCCCGTGCACAGGAGAAAGTGGCTGCGTATGACGCGTGTACCTGGTGACATAAAGCATGTTTATAGCTGGGCAACAGAGCGTGGTGTAGAGTGCCCCGAGCTAGCACAGTCTACTGCAACGAAGGACTTCAGTGATTAGTCACCGGCGTCACGAGACAGCACGTCAGGCTCTCTCAATATCCTGAAACCCCTAGCAACCTGACTCAAGGACAGGAGCCCCAGTGAGAGGGAGAACAGGGTACATGCAGACTTAACAGATCTAGTGGAGCTCTAATTAGCGAAGTATCATACCAAGAGGAGTGGCACATCCATGAACCTTAAGCTTGCACTTCCTGAAGAGAAGAGAGCTGCATTTTCAGGTCCTTCCCCTGCCTGTATTTTTCTTTCTTTTTTATAGGTAGCCATGGTGACTGGAGTCAGACAGGAGATTTATGTCAGGCTTGATGACTACTATAATACACATAAACAGAAAATGCCTGCCTTAGAGCAGCACTTTCCCGATAGGGACATGGCCACATTTTGACTTGGGCTACAGCCCTTCCCTTCCCCTCCCCTTCATGCATCAGATGCTTTCCCACAGTCCCTTTTGCCCAGCCTGGAGCCAACCAACTGGAGCATTCAAAAAATTAAATATTTTCCTTTCCCCCTCTTTGGAGAGTGGAGCAGAGATGTGCCCCAGACAGCCCTGCTCATGGTAAATGAGATTTTTATCTTGAGAAAGCAGTTCTGCTTCTCTCTGTCATGTCCCGTCCCGTCCCCCCCCTCACCCCCAGCCGTGCACATCCTGCCTCCAGACATGCTTCTCCCTTCACCTGGATGTGAGGGTTGGAGGAAAGCAAACCCCATCTGTCTCAAATGCAATGGCAACCACTGTGGCAGATTCTGCCCTGCTTTACTTCTCATGAACATGTATTAATGAGCCCCTCCATAAAACCCTCCACAACTACTGTTGTGCTGGAGTAAACTTTCTTTTGGCCTAGCGTCAGTGAACGAAGCTTCAGCCCAAGGGGAATTTGGCACAACAGCATCTTATCTGCATGACATGCGGATGGCTGTAGAGCTGACATTTCCCCCTGTTGCCAACATCACAGGAAACGTGAACTGGCAACCTAGAGCACAACGTTGTTTTTCTCCCCACTCAATAAATGCTTCAGAGACTTTTTGCAAAGCAGAAATACTCGCACATGGTCCTACACTTAAAAGCGTATCTGAATTATAATTGACTACATTTCTCTAAAACAAAGATAACAGGCTGAGGCCTTGGGAAAATAATGTTTTAGGTGAATGTCTGCTGGAGACAGGAAAGCTGTCTGGCAACAAATTCTTTGGGGAACACACTGCTCGATACTCTTGCTGAAGGGGATCAAGTGAAATTAGAAGATGGGGAAAAGTAATGTGTCTTGAGAGGTTAAATGCAAAAGCCTGATTGCTCCTCTCAATTATCCCAATCTTACTTTGTGAATTTACTATTTGAGAAGTGCTTATTTCTGAATTATACTGAGATGAGCAAGAGGGTAAGTCAGTGAAATTGCTAAATGAAAACCAACCATTTTATGTAACACACGCCACCCAATCGATTTAGTACATCAAATTCTGTACACATTGAAAATATCATGAAAATAGTGTCTTTAATATACAGTTTATATACTTACAATATGCAGTTTAAATTTGTTCATATACATTACAGGGATATTTATTTGCACCTGGTTTAAATAATAATCTGCCTTCAGCCTTTTACACAAAAGCCCCAAACAGCACAGAATTCCACAAAAACCATGCTTCGTTATAACGGAAATGTACTAAGCCAAAGTTTCAGGGCTTTCGCTTTTTTTTCCCAAGTGTTATTTTTTGACCTATCCAAAGTGAATCTAAAGAGCTAAGAACTAACAGATATTTTTACTATAATTCAGAAGATTGTCCAAGTCAAGAGAATCACTCTGCAGATTTTCACGCTGAAAATTTGGTTATCACGCGCAGAAATGGTAAAGTCTGAACAACTCCTGGGCTACTAGGAGTTTAAGACATAACAAGTGAAGAGTCATTTATTGCTAGGTCTTAACAAGGGGCCTGCATTTCCCTACTGCCCTGCTGTCCCTAACACCACAAATGAAAAGGACGATCCCTCACTTTGATTAAGATTTCATTCCTACTTTCTAGCTTGCACACAGGAACGCTGCAATTTCAGAGCATCAAAAAGAGGAGCCCAGGAGAGCTGGGCTAAGCCCTAGTCCTTTCACACAGGGCTGGTGTTCGGCTTTTAAGTAGCATGGTGTACCCCCTGCCTGGCCCGCAGGCAGGACTTTGCTGACCTCCGTTGCAGGCAGGCACCCCGCTGGGCAGCACACAAGTAGCTGGTGCCAGCACACTTTATTTAGTGGGGAGACAATCAAGGAGTTGATTCAAGAAGAAAACATAGGAGAAAACATTTCAAGTATTTATAGACAGATTTGAAGCACAGTGGGTTTTTAGACAGCATTGCTACTTACGCTGTTTCTCTTGAAGCTGTTGTTGCAGAATAAAGTCCATTAAAGTGGCAAATGAAACTGCTGTATGGGAAAAAACCCTGTGTAATACGCAGTTACTTCAAACTCTTGCTTCTAGCTGCAAAGAACACTTCAAAATACATTTTCCTTTTAATTTTGGATGGACCAAATGTTTTCTGTCTCTAAGCTTCTAGCTGTAGGCAATTTTTACAATACGGCAAGAATAAGAACGCAAATATGCGCTTTGAGTTGATTTCAATACAGCTTTGGTTAGCCAGCCAGGCAGCAATACGAGGAATCTTAATCCTAGGCACAATGAGCATTTAAAGTAAACCAGCATTTTCCGTCAAGTTTCCTCCCCACCCTGCCCCCGGCCAATTCTGTGCCCACCTCCAGAAAAGCCCCCATGAAAGCTTTCACTGCTGAAGGCAGCCTCAGTCCTTGTGCCACCACGCAACTGTTGCATAGAAAGGATGCGTTTCCTGGTGCAGGACAACAAGACAGCTCCATACAGAATGACATGCCAGATTTTATGCTACCAAATGCCCCGGACAAACAAAAAACCCAAGGATAACACACAACTTGAGACACTGATAACTAAATAAGCACCAGAGGCCTTACATTTACTTAATCTGAGGAAAGAAATCCAGGGTTAGGAGTGGCCTATTTTAGTAGACTGCCTCCAAAAAGTACGAGATTTTAGGCCCGACATGTGCTGTCTGAACTCAATGGGTACATCTCTGCTAGTAGACAAAACGGGCCAGAGCCCTCTCTCAGACCCCAAGGACAAGCAACACAGCTCGCATCAACACGGTTGAACTCCATTAACCCCCCAAACCAGGCTGGTTTCCCCCATTGCTAACCTCCGAGCTGTGCTTGGGAGTTGTGTGGGATCACCCATTGCACAGGCTGGTTGGGTTGCACCAAACCAGGCAAGAGCCCACACCAACAGTTCAGCAGCACGCGACTCCCACGAGACAGCACCCGTGCCTCGGCACTGCTCAGTTTGCTAGTACGGTTTGCAAGTCCTAGCAAACACTGAGTGCTATCTCCTCCTATTCTCAGCAGCTGGTAAAAAGTTTGTATCACAGGGATGTTCCCCAGAGCTTTCGCACACTTCCTAACCACAGTGGGAACATTAAAGCAACCCTCCATCTCAAAGTACCATCAGCAGTGCAGCATTTTGTAACCTTTTACAGATTTAAGTCTCCAGGTCTTACACCCCCATCCTTCTAAAGAGTCTGTGTGGTTCTCTACTAAGGCCTGAAGCTCTCCTCTGCTCCTGCCCCATTTCAAAGGTGCCACCATCCCTTTATTGCCAGGGACTTCCCGTGAGACCAACGCATTCACATCGGTCTGCCCTGTTCACACTACCTTCTACAGCGCCAAGGACAGTCCTGACCCCCTAACACCACAGCAGCGAAGCTCAAGAGGAAAGCAAGTCAATTAGATCCCATGGGCATCAGCGCTGCCATAGCTTGGCTACCTACACAGCGGTGGAGAGGCCAAGCCACCACACTCCAGCTGCCTGGTTTCCTCAACACTCTCCTGATTTTACCAGAGCAGACGCTTCAGTCCAGCCTGGGCATCACAGCAGGTAGCTCAATGCTGCAGTCATATAATTCACACAACACAAAGGTTAGGAACACCTAAATCACTAAAAAGGGCTTGGAAAATTAAGGTGATGGGCGGCTAAGGGCAAAAGAAAAGGTCAAATGCTAACATATTATGCATAAAAATAAGTAGGTAGTGCCAGGCCAGAACAAAACAACTGGAAGGACATCAATAGCAAGTTTGCAGTTAGAGGTTTTAGCTGTACTTTTGCACACAGGCTCTGCTTCTGACATCATTGCACATTTCTCGGCCTTCCAACAGGCCAGCAGTATTTTGGTCTATGCATATGTGATGCTAATGCAGCACACTCACGAATGCAAATTCCACCAGGCTGCTTGCAAGAAAAACCATTCCAAGCAGGTAAGCAGAGATAACAGAATAGGTCTCCTTCCTTAGCTGAAGAACACTATTTTCTCAGGGATGTTAATATCTTGGAGGCATTAGCAATATTTAATATTAATATTCCCAAGACTGCAATCTCCTCTTTTTGAGGGGGGGTGGGGGTGGGGAGAGGGAGGGGGTGGGGGAGAGAGAGAGAGAGATATTTTACTTTTTTTTTACCTGGAATTAACAAGCCAAGCAAAACAAAGAGAAGTATCTGACATTTAAAACTTGTCCCTTTCCAATTTGAATACTCATTTGACATAGTGAGGGTTAAAATGCAATTGATTTCAATTTGCACATGCCTACTAACACACATACATATCTGAACAGTACTTGAATTTGATTTAGTCTTACTTGCAGCTAAAATATTTTAGGACGCTAATTAAAAAGCATCCGGAGGAAGCTATTGATCTGTTGCTAAAAGTCAATACATTAAGAAAAAGAGTAGGATTATGAAGTCTTGGGTTTTTTCTATTGGGATATTTTTTGGCTCCCTGCTTTCTAGTACCCACATCAATTGGGCTTTGCTCTCTGGTTGGGAACTGGTGGTTTGCATTATTGCAAGACAAATGATGCATCTTGGCTTTGGCATGGAGACATGACATGAAATTTGCCCAGGCAACAGAACACTCTATTTGCAAATAAATTATTTTAAATGAGTCAATATGGTTGAGAAAACAGGCAAAATCAGCGTCCCATTTTGTATTTTCTCTTGATGCTCCCGCTACATGCCCTACAACAGAGAAAGAGACATTTTTTGTACTTCAGAAAGGTAAGAAAGGCAGGTGATGGTGTCACCCTGGCCAGGGCTCTGCTCAGCAGCAGGCGAAGGTGAAGCTGCTCCAGCATCCCTGGCTCTGACTACCTGAGGATCATGGGCACGCACGCTTGTTGAGGATGGACACCACAGACTGCTTCTTGAGGACCTCCACAAATCCTTGCATTCAGTACTACAAAGGTAGGGGATCCTGGGGTTATTTAGACCCATTTCGGAGAGCTCTGCCAACTACAAGAAATCAGCAACAGACTAGCAAAAGTTAATCCTATTTCTAGCCTTCTGAGCAGTTAAATTTGAAAGGTCTCCAGGGGCAGACGAATGCCCCCTTCCCATCTCTGTGCTCCCTTTTGACTGCTACTTCCGTGTGACATCTATTGTAGTGACTTTTGCAGCTGGGCAACTGAATTAACACATCTTATGATGCTACAGTCCCTCCCACTTTGACACCCACATCCTCCTAGCCCACTGCAAACAAGACAGGTGAACTTAAAACATCACAAGCATTTCCCGTGGCATGGCCCAAACCCTCACTTGGCCCCTTCTTACCAGCGTGCCATGTGCTGTTTCTGTTCCCTCCCTCGCTAATGCTTTATTTCAAAGGCATCCTATAGGAGTACTGTTGCCTTCCCACACAGATCCGACCGCAGGAATAGGATAGCACATCGAGTGCATTTTCAGATGATCGTAACAGCAGCAGAGGAAACATAAAGGGTTGCCTTTCGCCAGAGCAAGGCTATTGCAAGGGCTGTGTGTTAGCAGGCTACTGTGGCAGGCAGGATCTGCCGAGAGGAGTCTGTGCACTGAGCTGTCTTTCCCATGAAAAAGCTGCATGACCAGAAGTCATGCTCCTTACTCCAGCCATCTGACTACAAAAGCAACTTTTGAAATCTACAGGTCATAAGCTTTTAATTGGTCAGGGCAGAGTGGCTCAGTAGGAAAATCCCCCTTCTCCCTCCCCTCTGGGCAGTGAGCTAAGCAAGACTCTTGTTTTAAAAACATTTAACTCTTTTTGCTCAAAGTAACATGGAAAACATATCCACACTACAGGTAGTCAGGAAGATACTGTTAATAAAAATATGCTGCAAGAATAGTGTATTAGTGGCACTTCACAGCAATTCTTAACATTTTCAGATGTAGTGTCAAAACAACGTTTTTGTATATCCAAACATGCTTTTTGTTAACAGAAATGGAAGAAGGTCGCAGCATGTTGCCAAATATTATTTGAACAGAAATAATCCTGTAAGAAATACATTTTTTTTTGCAGTTAACACAAAACTGTAAACTGGATCGGTGTGTGTCTTTCAGCATCAAATTGTTCAGTAATAAATACAACTAAGTCTTAAGAGACTACGGAGTAAAAGTTCCCTTAGTGTCCAGTTTTTAGCAGCTGTTGAACGTTCAGGGATGCACAAGGCACGCCTCTGCAGATTCTCTGTTTTATTATTGACATAAAAAAAAAATCTGTTCACCACTCAAAAACGTTTATCTGCATAGTAAGAATTTTTCTACTACTATTTACAGGAAGGGCTTTTAGTGCAAAAAACAGGAAGTGATGTATTAGCTGAAGTGCATTGAGCACATCTCATACAGTTTCACTAATAACTAGTCGGCATCACATCTTGGGCCGCCAGCCATTAATGAACTGTAGTATTTTCTTAACCTGCAATTTGCTTAGCTTAAAGTCTTCTGACAGGATTTCTTCCGTAAGCTGAACCAATAAATTGCCATCAATCTTCTCTGTAACAAAAAACGATATGACATCTTCTGACAGACCAATAAACCTCAGCGATTTAGATACTTCCTCTATGGAAAGTCCAGAAAGGTCTGTGGGTGGCTGCCAGGGAGAGCCATCCCCACAAGATCTTGGTGCTAACTGGAGGTGGAGGGGAGACGAGAAGGGATAAGACAAAGAGAACGTATCCTGCATGCCCTTTTTAACAAGATACTGATCTTCCAAGAGGTCTGGAGAACCAGTTTTCGACTCCTCCTCAGCACCATCTATTTTCAGTGGCAAGGGACACGTGTCTGTGACTGTTTTCTCTTCACTTGACTTTGGTGCCCGAGGAGGTAAGGCAGGACACGAATGGCTCTGCTTTGCGTTGCTGACTCCCAGAGTTTTCTCATCAGTGCAGTCTAGAGAGTAACTTGCCGACTTTGGACAGCTAGAGATGGTGTTTGTGAACTCTGCTGGGGTCAGCGGGGAGCACCCCACTGGGAGCTCACACCCATCGAAGTCAAAAGTCAAAGGTGCTGGACAGTTTCTCTTTGGCGTACCTGGAGTCTTCTGTCTGGGGTAACTGTAGCTCCTGCTTGGATCGAGCAGGAAATCACTCCTATTCAGGCTTTCAGCAGTTCCTGAAAAATGGTTTGGCCAAGATAACCTCGAAGGCAGAGCTTCAGTTGAGGGGCTTCCCAAAGGCATCGTGCTCTCAGGCTCTTTGGATTCGGTTTTCATCATGTTACAAGGGTAGCAGGAAACAGGTGTGCTCTCAGTTGGGTTGGTGTTGTCGCTCTCTGTGACATTGCTTAAGGAACAAAGCAGAAAGGATGTCGTTAGAACAAAAAAATTTGGCATCTGAATAAATTCATAAATCATTTGACAGAGTCAGAGGGTAGCTGTCACAAGGAAAGAATCTTCTTTCCTCCAGCAGAACTTTTCAGATTTGAATTAACAACACATTTGAATAATGCATTGACAGTTCTTTTACTCCTTCTGCAAGCCTGACAAGATGCTGATATACCCAAAAGCCTCACATCTTGTTTTTTCAAGCTTGTAAAAAAGTAGATGTCTCAATTCAGTTCTGTGTCATCTCCCGAATACTCAGTTTTTCCACTGTCGAATTCCTGAGGGACACCACCTTGGAAGAGGAACAGCCTCACATATACTAGAAGATGTTCTAATCCTGTATTTTATATTTATGTAACACAGATGTGTCATGGTATGCAAAAGCTCGTAACGGGGGCAGGTCACCACTGCATCCAAGCTTGACTGACATAAGAGATGACCAAAAGCCCTTTTGGAGCCAACATTTTCATTTGTTATGGCACTTGCATGTGCACAGGATCTTTCCCCACTGGTCACTGGTGCAAAAAATGCACCAGTGCACAGTACAATAACACAGAATAAGTTACTGCTTACTGCCAAAGGAAGAGTTTTACCTGGAAGGGTAAGCAGACCTAGCTGTACGTGTTGAAGTATGAGGCTTAAGCTTACCCCACAGTAACTTGTTTGCGTGTCCATTTCCTTAAAAAGCTATGATGAAAAACACTTGCTTTTCAAAGGCACCTAAAGAAAGAAAGTTACCCTGACCTACTTCCAGGTGGTAAACTAAGCTCAGCCTGTCCGAGGGAACCGATGGTTTATATCCAGATGTTCCCGAGAGACAGAGATGCCAACAAAACCATGCAATGTGTTATCAAAAGCAAATGTTGCCACTTTTATGCCACTTTCTAAAAGAAAGTTTGAAAGATTGGGTTGATCTTTGGAATTCTGGCCAATTAAGCCAGAACACTGGAAAAACAATTAGCAGGTTTATAAAATCCTTACTTAACACAACTGACGGAAACTAACAGTTGAAAAAATTGTTTTAATTACTCACCTCTCTCTCCTGGAAACTAACTACTCAAGAAAGAAACTCGGTAGTCATTCTGTGACTACGCAGTGAAAACTGCTTGAAGAAGGCAGCAGCTTTCAAAAAACCAGCATAGTTTTGAATGGGTTGACATAAAATTCGTTCCCCGTGTGCTTACAGTGAGTCAGAGAGGAAGCCAACCTGGACTTGCCCAGCTCAAACACAAAGCACAGATGCATAAAAGCAGCTCTAATCTATATCACTGGAAAATTAGTTACAAAACTCAGCCCCAACAGATGCAGTTTCCCTCTGTCTAACCATCTCTTGGTCTCCACTCCATGCCCTCCAAACTTTTCTTTTTTCCTGTTTATGTCACTAATACAAGTCTGCCAGTTAAGCAGTTGGATGTTTACAATAGCAGAGATGTTTTTTTTTTTTCTCCCCCTCACCAAGGATACACTGTCAACTGGTCATTTCTGGCTGCTTAAAGACCAACTGGCATAAAGTACACAATGCAAAGCATTTTTCACAAACCAAGCCATCAGGCTGCTCAATTCAGAGAAGACAGTCAGTGAGGCATTGTAAACAACTAACTGTACAGAGGAATTAAATGGATTGATCCTGTTTCTGTTCTCTAATTCAGTATTAGAAATGGGAACATTTAATGATTTAAAAGATTAATGGAACTACTGAAAACTGATAAAGTAACATTTTTAAAGTGCTTCATATTCGTCCTTCACCAAAATTAACTCATTGAGACTCAGTGCCAAAGGATGCAAGAGAAACCATACAGCTGAAGTCAGGCATCAGGCATTTTCATAGGCAGATAAGGACAAATCATGTTGGTTTTGTTTATGTTTAAAATATTGGCTGCAACCCTTCACGATCCAGAAAATAGGATCATTGATAAAAATGGCAAGACTTGAAAAGCAACTTCACCAGCAATCCGGTTACTCCACACGTTGCCAATCCTCTAGCAGCTTCCTCTGCAGCACTAGGTCAATTCTACCAAAATGGAGATATCTGGTCTGGACCCAAGATGGAGATGAATTTCATGCAAATATCATGAAGTTCAAGTCAAATAATACCACTTGCATTCCTGAGAAACTTCACTTCTCACTGTTTTCCTGGTTTCTTGGGAGGCAGATGTATTCTTGGCTACAAAGAGAGAAAGCAGCATTTGGTGGGCCCTGAATGCTGGGAGGTCTTGTGCTCAGCCTCCTGTGGAATAGACCTTGACAGAACTACCCAACAGGCTTTCATAAAAACTAATGAGCAGCCTTGATCTAGAATGATCATTGCCAGATACACTACACTAAGCTGCAAATGTGCAGTATAGCTTAGAAAGGCAATTCCAGCGTAAGTTACTATACCCGTTGCATCTAGGCTGAAACAATTTCAGTGGTGTTTCAGATCAATTTGTAATATCCAGACAGGTAGTATCTTGTCATTGAAAAGATACCAAAAATAATGGCAACAAGACATTCAAGGCAAAAAGGAGGGGAGACTTCAAAAGGTGTATGCACTTTCTAAAGCCAAAGGAAGAACACTACATTGCTAGAAAAAGGTATGCAGCCACTTAATTCAAAATTTCCTGTCAACTTTTGACTAGCCTGAGTGAATTTTCCAGTTTGTGGGTTAGGTTTGTGCTGAAGTGGGTTTGATCTGGAAGCTGTCTGGCCCCCTTCTGTTACACCTCACTTTGCACTAAGTGGTGTCTGCTGGCCTCTCTGTTCTCCATCATGCCCACCCCATAGGTTCCCATATAGTTGGCACAAGACATTTCTGGATTACCAGGCCCCTTTTGTGCCCCCGCTTATCAGAGCTGGCTGCACTGCATGCATGTAGCACTGAAATCCCACCTGAACACTAGCTTGGAGATGTTCTGGTTTGAAGATTTAAGCCTTTCAAGAATTATACAGAACTGTATGGGATTTTCCGTTTAGACAGCTGGTGCCACCTTACAGTGAGATTACCTATAGCAATATGTGCACGTATTTAATATAAGTTGCTACGTCCTATCTAGTAAAACATAGTTTCTGCTGGAGCTTTGCTTCCTCTTGAATCTTTAAAAATAACTTAACGGGTTAGCCCGTTTCACAAAAAGTCAGCAACTCTGACACAGCACCATGCCTTTATAAACAAGCACCCTGAAAAAAGAACACTGCTAAATTTAACTTTCTCAAAAAGTGCTAGCACGGGGCTCTCACAGCTGAAACACATACATGTTGTGCAGTCCTGAAGAGTAGTAGGACAGTGTAGGACTAGGAGAGCGGGTCTGCTGTCGTGCAGGTTTGACTGTACGAGGAGGGATGGAAGGGCTGGTGGACGACGGCTTTGAGCTCCGTGGTGGGACAGGGGGAGCATTCAGGAGCCTGCATTCCTCTTTTACCTGCACAAAAGAAGAACATCTAAGTAAGCAGTGAGAAAAGCTGGGCAACAGCACTCTCAACCAGATGAAACACATCTGGTTCTGCCTTATTCTGTGAAAGGAAATAATTAAAAAAGGGAGGAGAAGAGAAAAATGATGCTAAGTATATACATTTGCAACAGTATGTGGCGGTCACAAAGAAGTCCAAAAGAACGCCTTGCTACCAGTAGAGCTACTAGCAATCTTTTTTAGGGTGCTTTTCAGTAGTTTGATATCTACTCATTCAGAGAGTAGCAGTAATGAAATGATGTAAAAGAACCTTCCAGTAACATATAAAATCAGACAGGCTGTTCCAGATATTTTACATTTTGTAAGGAGCAATTCATTAGGCTTAAACTTCATTAGTGTTGTTTATTTAGATGTAATAAACCAAGCTTACGTAATGAAGAGATCTCAACAGACTTTGATGTTTCCTGACTTACTTCACCAGTGATACTCAGTCATGCAGCTCTAAGATAATTCCCAGCCTTCCTCCTCCAGGAATAGTACATGCATCTCATATTTACCAGATGCTGGGATTCAAACCTGGAGCTTCAGTCCTCCTGTAGCTGCCAAAGCAGCCCAGGATAAGAATAACTACAAAACTTACAAGTTGAAAGGTGTGGGCAGAAGAGCCTGTTCAAATAACACACCCAGCCAATAGGTCTACTTTTTGCAGCCAACCAACTTTGCAGCTTAAAACACATGACTGTAGCACTGCTTATCTGAAATTTAGTTTGGTCTGCCTAGGTAGAAGCAAAATATCAGGATCCATCTCCATAGAAAAAATGATGGAATTAAGACCTTAATCTCATCAGTCCATATTTGGGCGAGCAATTTCATTTAGCAGGGCTAGAGGTGAGCAAGGGTACTGAGAATTAGGCTGCCAGGCAGGATTTTTAAGGACTAAGCACCTCCCTCCGGGCAGGATGAGACCTCTATGTTCTCCTTGTCTGAAACAGTCTTAGATGCACCAGAAAAAGGAAATTCTCTTTGTGTTTGAAAGTTATAGTTTATTTTTAAATTTAACACCACTGCAGAACTAGAAGTTATCTTAGCAGTTCTGCAACACATAATTAGCAATTAAAGTGACTTAATTTATTTAAAAACAAAATAAATGTGGAACCTTTTGCAATCCACTTCAGTGCTTTCAAAATGCAACAACCCATTTAGTACTTTTGTGAAATGGAAAATTGGGGACTAGGACATTGTAGTACATTTTTTCCCTAATTCAAAACAAGTCAAAATTACAGGAAATGCCCAACAGCATAAAACACTGAAATAAATCTTGTTCTAAGGGTTCTTACTTGCTCTTTCAAGAAAAAAAAAAAGAATCAATTTTATTCATGTTTGTTATTGAACTCGGGCATAAAACTCTTCAACCATTTTAGTGCTGTGCCCCAATGATGCCTAAGGACTTCACTTCCCCCCCCCCCCCAAGCCAGACTGGGAAAAGTTAATACTGCATGCTATTGAATACATACCCATGGGGTTAGAGAGACCATTCAGGGGAGCTCTTGGAGCACAGCAGATGGTCAAGGGGTTAAAGGGATTCTTTCCTGGGAAGACTGCCGGCATTCAAAGGTGCTGGCATAACAAACTATGCCAAGCTCCCTTGCTGACCTAGATTGCACATCAGAACAAGGCCGTAAATAATACCGGTTTGCAGTCCCATTTGGTCCCTGTCACAAGACCGCGATTACAGCTGCCAGACACAGCCCTCAGGAAACCCAGCAGAGGAATAAAAAGGAGAGATTTTTGCAGGTTAAATTGACAAGAGCAAGGGGAAACTTCAGAGGAGAGCTACCCCTCACTAGGCCCAAGCAAAGAGCAATGAAATAAATGCAGAAGAGGAGGGGAACAGCCACGGCACGACATGACGATCACCTCAATGGCTGCTGCTATTACTAGGAAACACTCTTTTGCCCAGAAGCACTAGATGCCGCGTGGCTGCCAGATACACATAAAGTGCACTTGCGCTGCATGTCCTGGGACTTTTATTTGTCACCGTCCGAGCCCTCCCATGCTCTAACACCACTTCCCGTGACCCGGGGATGGTGACCCCTTTCTGACGGCATGAGGTGGATTTTAAGACCTCTGCTCCTTCTCCTTGGTGCCAGCCCAAGCCCCGCCAGCACCCCCTGGGCCCTGGGGTATCGCTCCTGAATCTGGGGGTCGCGGTGACCACTTCCGAGGCCGCCTGGATAAAACCCACCCCGTCGCCGGCATGACCGCCAGCGTAACACAAAGCCGTTCAACGCTCCTTGCTGATGGGAGCCTGAACTTCCAGCACACTCCATCGGGGATGTGCTTTAAATCAATCAGGAAAACAGCCTCTGATTTTATGCAAATTAGCGTTTGGGGACTGAAGCAATTTCTAATTTACAGGCCTTAATTCAGAGATAATTTTTTTCCCCCTCCCCTTCTGCCTTCATGCTACTTTGATTTTCTGAAAGGTATTTAGAAAATACACATGATGTATCAGAATGCTTCATCCTGCCAGAGAGAAGAAAACCAGAACAGCTTCTGAAATACCCAAACGTCCTTTTCTCTCCTGCAAACAGCTCCTGTACACACATTTTAAATTTAGTGCATGAAAAAATACAACTGCCAGCCAACCTTTATACAGAAACACTATGGAGTATCATTCTAGAGAGAGTGATGACTAAACCGCATGTTCATCAGCAGCCTCAGAGATCTACTTTATTCTATAAATACCCTACATGGAAACCATGCAAACATCTCCTCGGCCCCAGCCCACTGATGAATTCAGTAGGTCACCAATACTCATTCCAAAGCTGTTCCAGGACGCCACAAAACTGAGTTTAAATTTTTATCATCTATGGAGATGTAGGGTTTTTATTTTATTTTTTATGGGGTTACACCCCCTGCCCACCTCTAAATGCAGGCTAATACCTTTAGCAGAAATTATTTCTCCTACATGGCTAGAAAGCAATACCAAAATTGCTGACAGCTCTCCCACATTACCTCAGTAATGTAGGACACACATCGTACACTTTTCAAAACAACCTTAAAAGGGAACATACATATCTACCCCAAACGCCACCCTGCTCCCCCCAGAAGGGAGCTGCTATGCCACAAGGTTTCCCCAAGTGTGAGGGTCCACACCGATGCTGTGCATCACAGCAGGCTCTCCCAGCATCCCATCGCCCACTCCCCAGGCATGACCTGGGGGGCGGGCACCCCCAGCCAGGGAGGGCTGCCCTCACCCTGCTGTGGAGGCAGCCTTCCTCCCCCACTGCCCCCTCGCCCGCTCCCCGGCACTGGCTCCGGCAGTCCTTTGACCCCGTAGTGAAGCAGTTCAGCTCACAGAAATCAGCAGGAAACTAATCATTTTCCAGATCCAGACCTGGTTGCCTGCCCAGGTGCAGGAGTGCCAGAGCCAGCACAAAAGAGGAGCCAGGACCATGTGGCTGGGAAAGGAGGAGGAAGAGGAGGAGGAGGAAGAGGAGGAGGAAGAGGAGGGTAGGACCAGCCCCATGTTGGTTTACATCAGCGTAGGCTGCCAGGGAACCTCATCCGGATATGGTGCTGCTGGGCACTTGTCCGAAAGAGTCTGGACAAAGCATTGGTGCATACCTGACCTTGGAGGCAAGGAAGCGCTCTCAGGTTCCTGCACTTAGACGTTACAGGTAAACACTCTTTGCTAAGAAGACATAATGTCTTGACTTTCCTGTCTTTGCTGAAGCTGCTGTGACTGCTCTTTGGGGAAGTTTTGGCGATACAGTCAAAGGGCTGCAGTTGTGCATTTCATGCCTGCGCTGGCGTTCTCCTCCCCTCTCCTCGCTGCACCTCCCCAGCAGCTGCACAGCCTAGCCAGGGGGATCCCCACGGCAATCCGCTGCAGGCTAACCCAGCACAAATAAGTACAACTTAGCTTTCAACCAGACTGTGACCTGGCTCACGATGGAAAGGCTATGGCTACGGCCAACACTGCAGATGGCTGTTAGATGGCAACAGGAAAGGATGGGATCACCATGGTTTGCTGCAGTTTGGTCCTAGATTAGCCTCAGCTTACTGTGCAGCCATGCTCTTGAAAATATCATTGGACTTGCAAATGGAACAGTATTTTCTTTATTTAAATTCCAGCAAAACCCCTGCAAAACTAGTTTGTTAAATTATAATATCTGTCAGGATTCATATGACATATGTATCTATCATTCAAATTTTGCTAAAGATTCCTAGACACTCTTTCCTGAGGGAAGTTTTCTTTTGTTCCTTCATGTTTTTAAAAAAATAATGTTTAGGACTATGTCAAGAGACCATGCAACTGTTGGATTTTCCATCCAGTCCACATAAGCTCCTGTTGGTGAAACATATTTGTATTTTTTCCTCTGAAGTCTCCATGACATTTCAGGTTTGGAGAAGTGATTTCTCCCATGAGTTTTCATTAGAAACCCTAGGAGAGGAAACATGCTCTGTTTAAAATTGAGTCCTCTAGAAGGCTCATTTATCAGCTCTGCACAGTTCCTATTTAAACATGTTTGCTTTCAATAAGCAGTACAGAGCGATTAGTTCAGGTCTAGTTTGATAAAGTTTCCTTGAGGTCAATGACACTTAATATCCTTCAAAATCTGCCATAGACTTATAACAGAGAAGACAATCTCTCATTAACAAACACTTCAAATCCATAAAAATTCTAGCTGTTCTCATTATTGGGGCCTGTTAACTGAAGATACACACACTAAGGTGATCCAAGGCAGTTCCAAGTGGGGTCATGTCCCACAAACTTTGGCCACAGAAAATATGAGAAAACATGGAAGCCATGTGAAGAGATCATGTGGAAAGCCAGGGAAGGAAGTGTCCCAGCAATTCTTAGACCTTGTTTGTGGGAGCAAAACCCCCCAATATCATCTTAAAGCATCAGGATTAAGCTATTAGATCAGTTATATTAAAGATACTCTGGTGGTTTTTAGGACATGACTTACACTTTGTAGGAAACTAGTTGAAGTTGTGCATCTCACAAAGCCTCACCATTTCCTTGCCCGCCATGTGCCGCCCTGCCCTGCTCAGTCTTCCCTAAAAAAAAAATCCCCAAGCAGACTCTTCACCAGCTACAAAAGAAACAAACCAACAAAAAGAACCCCGACTTACTGCTTCTGATTTGGGAGGCACTGGAGGTGGAGGTAGGGAAACATCTGAAGACTTTGTGGTTGCTCCGACAGTCGCAGGCACAGGAAGAGATGCGGTACCACACTTTGATCGGAAAGACCCTCTGTAGTTGTCACATTTGTTCTTCTCACTTAGTGAGCGAGTGAGAGGCTGGTCGCCAGCCTTTCCAGACCCTTGGTCCAACCACAGCTCTTCGTAAGGAAGTTCTGGTTTTGTAGGTAGAAACATCGATTCTTCACTAACTTCAGGAAAAAGGTAATCACTGCTACTGTCACCAGACTCCTGGTACTGAAGAGCATCGTGAGAGAACAGGGCCCACTCGTTACACAAGTCCCTGCAGCCGTGGAGGTTCACTTCACTATTCCCATGCAAGTTGTTTCCATAGACGCACACCGAAAGCCGGTGGAAGGACTGCGTAAGCTCGTCCCGCGCGTAGCTGAGGGAGTTCGGCATGTGGCTGTGCCCCGCGCATCGGCTCTTCTTTGGGCTCTTGCAGTCTTCGTTCCAGTCAGTTTTCACATCTCGCACGGCACGGGAATACTCATCTATGTCAAACTGTTCCTGGCATATATTAAACCAATGCTGGATGAGGGACTCGTGCCACAGCTCCCCCTTCACCAGACTGTCAGGTAGAGTAAATTTCGGAAGCGTTAAGTGCAAGGGAAAATGCATGGGAATAATTTTGTTGCCACGAAGCACACAACAAACCACCACAGTCTTGGTTTGAATGTTGACAAACTTGTACCTGTGCCCTTCACGGATAAAATGCAGGTCGTAAGGGTTTCTTGGTGTAGGACTCGGCACAGTCACGTTAACGGGCAGCCTGGTTTTTTCTACTATATTGCGAATCGTGTGCTCACCTTCTTGCATCTGCACCTCCAGCGGGCTGCGGGTGCTAAACTTGCCCTTACACTGGAAAGGGAGGCTGATGCTTTCGTTGGTCCTGTGGTTCATGCAGATGAGGCAGGGCATTTTGCCTCTACCTAGCTTACTAATTGAATTAAGTTTCCCGATTTTTTTGAAGATGGTGTTGAGTCGTGACTTCTCCTTAGAAGATTTTGCATAAAGAATTTCTGCTTGCCCCATTAAAGTGAGCTCATCCCCAGTACTAAGGGTAATGTTGTAAACCTCGGTGTCTTCATTGCATTCACCTGAAGCCACCTGCAAGATAATAATAAAAAATTTGGTTTTCCCCAGCTGAAGATAATACTTCAAATCATATCAAATCTATTGAGACTGAACTTACAAGACTATATATTGGGAGAAACTAAACTAACTTTACTTGAACAGCTGAGTAGTCAAGTGCAAGGTGTTTAACCTGAAGCTTGGCCAAGTAACCAAGTAACCTTTTTTTATTGTTCTGCACATTCCTGCATCTTACTTGAGGGGAAACAGCCACCTGAAACTGCCAAAGAAGGCATGAGAACAAACATAACCAGTTTTTAAAGAAAGGCCAAATCCTCATATCCCAGCAATTCAAATAGCCACTTGTGTCATACAGCTATGACAGAGCACATCTGGATTCTCTTGGGTATGTTTTTCCCACCCCCTTGTTTTTGCTGTTTGCTAGAACTTATTTGCCAGGCTCACGAGGGAAGCAAACTTCTTCTTTCACCATCTTCAGCTCCCAGAGGAGCAGAAAAGGTGATCTCATCATTATGGATGAAGCATATCCCTTTGATATAATCTCTTCCAGGCTAGGGGGAATGACAGATGACATCTATTCCCTGAAGGAGAAGTCAAGAATATCAGTCTGTCCTATATGCCTATCTCCCCCCCCTGCTTTGCTCGCCTAGTCATAGACTTCCTTCCTCATTTTTTGATCATAATTGCAATTTAAGAGATTAAACAACATATGCACAGCCATGTGTGTGCTTTTTCTAGTATGGAAATTGTACTGGAAAGGAAAAAAAAAAGGCAAAACCCAGATGTCTAAGGCTCATTTGTTCCTGAAGTTATTTCCTTAAGACTGGAATAACTCTTTATAGACAAGATTGCTCTGCTTCGTATTTGAGTGGTTTAACGTGAAAAGCCCTTTTCAGGGACCTAACAGAACCCACCCAGCTCTTCCTCAGCAGCAGTGGATACCTATTTATAAAGGAAGGTGCATCAGATAAACACTACTGGCCTATTATAGACCATTTCATTTGGAAATACTGAACATACTAAAAAATTGCAAATGAAAACGTATGTTAAAATTGCATATCCCTTCCTCACCTCCGCAACCCCTAAAGATTTCATAGAGCTGTGTGACATTCAAATTCCAGGCTTCAAACTTGGGTATCATCACAGAAAAGCCACTGCATGAAATCAGTGCTGTAATTCCAATTGGTTAATAACTGAGAAGTGCTGTGAATAACGCCTCCTCTTGTAGGACGTGATCTGCAACTCACCCGTATTTGTGAAGTTGTGATTATCTTCTGCAAGCCTTTCAGAGCAAACACACAGGCAGCTCAGCCGAGGTGTGCCGCCTTAGCACTTCAGTCTCAGGGCTTCCGGAGAGGAAGTCATTCAAGCCCTGAATTATCTAAACAAACACTAACTGGTCTAATCCAGGAAACTACTAGGATTTATGGTACGTAATACTCATTCACAGTTCACACCACTGGCCAGACCGTATTTTGAAACGTCACGACATGAAAGGAAAGCACTCGGGTTTTTTGCTGGTAACACCGATGTGACGCTCATTGCTGGTTCCTCCTCCAAACCGCCACAGAGCGCTGCTTTTGAGCCGCAGCCATGTAGCCCCGCCTGTGGTGGAGCCGATAAGGGCTGAGGACGCACAGGGCTCTGTGCATGTACCGTTCAATTCCCCCCTTCTCCTTCTGAGGCCATGTTCTGTAAGAATATCGGTTTCTAGCATTGTCAAGTCCCCACAAATGGCTTCTTTGGACAACGCGAGCTACGCTGTCAGATATTTTAACTCGAGACGGTATGGTTACAGCTTTTTCTCACTTCCTGCAGGACACCGGCCGGAGCGAGGGAGGTGTCACAGCCTACGGCTGTGGGAGCTCCTGCTTGGCCAACTTGCAGTTCCCTGGTGATTCACAAACAAACAAGCCACTGTAGAAGGAAACAGCGGGTCAGATGTGAAACCACAGAGGTAACTAACTGGCCAAGCTTCACAACGAAGGTCTCACGAAGCAGCTGCTTATTAATGGCATCCATTTCAACCAGCCAAATAGCAAATGGAGTTTTAGATTTGACAGGCATGTTTAAAGACAAAATATTCTCAGTTAAAAAATTTGGAAAATATTCTCTCTCTTTTTTTTTTTTTTTTTTAAACATAGTCACAGGATAATAATAGGCAAAATAAGGCTGAATTTCACTGTGCTGCAACAAAAGAAAAATCACACCATGGTTCTAGTTTGGCACTCTGAGAAAAATACTGTTCTGCACTCTTCCCTCTGAACAAAAATATAAGATATCAGCTGCTGTCCAAAACTGTAATAAAAAAAAGGCAAAAAGTGAAATTGAAAGTCTAAGACTGCACAGCTTTATCCCTATCCATTAAACCCTACTATGGTGAAGTTAAGGCTGCTGGTACACCTCAGCAGGCTAAGTATATTTTAAAATTTAAATTCTAAAAGTCAAGAAAGGTAACTCCCCTCTTCTCATGTTAGGTTAATTCATTCATTACCCCATGGTAGTTAACATCTGTAAAGCATACATGGTGGGTAAATATGTGTTCCAGGACATTAGCAACAAATATATCTCTTATTCATCCCATATGTAGCAATCACTCTAAAATAATCTAGAAACTCATGCACAGATATCTGTATTTTTTGTTTCCCAGATTACATAGCTAAATGAACTTTACTTTGCCCCTGTAGCAATGACCTACGAAAATCAAACTTGCTGTCTTGTTCACTCAAACATTTCACTTTATCAATGGCCACAAAACTTACGAAAACATCAACAAATAGGGCTGTGGATTTTAGCACAGGACATCAGGTGAGGTCTGTAGAATCCTCCAGGTTGGTCAGGACCCCTAGAGTAATCTAGTCCAACGTGGTCCTCAAAGCAGGTGTAGTTACAGCTTACAGCAGGGTGCTCAGGGTCACGTCCAGTTAAATTTTTAGTTTCTCTGAAGATGGACAATCCACATATTCTCTGGGCTACCTCTTTCTGTGTTCAACCACCCTCATTAATTTTTTTTTTCTTTTATTAGAGCAGAATTATCATGTTCCAACTCATGTCTGTTGCCCCTTGTCCTCCAACTGGGCACCTCAGATGAGTCTGTCGGTCTTCTTTGTACCCTCCCACTAGGTCCCCTCAGCCCTCTCAAGGCTGGACAACCCCAGTTCTCCCTGCCTCTCCTAACAGGTAGTTTGCTACAGCCCCCTGACCATCTCAGTATACTGGACTTGCTCCCACATGTCAATGTCTGTCTTCCTTTTATTAGTGTGCCATTGGAAAAAAGCCGTTTCCCAAACTGGAAGCAATACCCCAGCTGTAGCATCACAAGCACCAAATGGTGGGGAATCATCACCAACCTCAACCAGCTGGCTACACTCTTGCTAATTCTGCCTGGTATGTTGTTGGCCACCGTTGCTGCACCACCACTACTGTCTATCAAGTACCCCTCAGACTTTTTCCACAGAGCCACTTTCTAGCCCGCCAGCTTGTTGCAGGGCTTATGGCATCCCAGGCGCTGGGCTTTGCGCTTCGCAGGGCTCCCATCACCCCGGGAATCAGTCAAGGACAGCAGCTCCTCGGAACAGATTTCATTCACACCAAATAGTATGCTTAAAGACAACACGACCTGGGAGAAAGTACATATCAGAAATGATTCCTAAAAGGCAGAATGGGTGACACCACACCAGACTCGGCTCCCTCTACCCTCTAAGCTTCCAGCATTGACCCAACAGGATTTGCACCTGCAGGCACCCCTATGCTCCTTCACACCCCCGCTGAGAGGATGCCCCATGCACCCCCAGCTTCCCACTACGAAATCACTAGCGGGGTGTAGCAGAGCCCTACGCTATTTCAGACGCTTGGAACTTCCAGTGGCATGTCCCAGCCCATGCATGTGACATGGCATATCACTGGTATATGACGGAGAGAAGACAGCAGTGCACGATCTCAGAGCAGCAGAATTAAGGTAGTCCAGAACACAGACTGATGCAGAAATAATGATATATTTTTATGGCAAACTGTTAGAATCTCCTCATAATTCTGGAAAACAGGTAATGCCACAGAAGGCAGAAAGCACCTGAGAAGCCTTCATTCAGCTGCATAACACACCCAGGAGGGCTGATTCCAGTCCCAGCAGGGTTCCACTTCATCCCACACTTTCAGCTCACTTCCCCCCTGCTGCTTTGCCCACACTGGAGCAATGCTCTTGCCTCCTTTGGGACTTCTGTCAGGTTCGGTTTTGAACCTTCAGGTGTGAAGGCCTTGCAACTGGTAGGAAGCTGAGACCAGCTGAAGGAAGCGGGGGAAGGAAGGTAGGACAATACATTTTCCTCAGTCATCTCCATAGTGGGACTGTGCCCCCATGTTTTAATTTTTTGCGTGCCCCCTCCTCACATCTTTTATTTAAAACAGAAATTATTCACTAGACAGTTCCAGTACAGCAACTTGCAGCAGTAACCACCAAACCTCCAGCTGCTGTCATTACCTGATAAGCACAAAGTCTCCTCCAGTTATTAAACTGCTAGCCTTGGGAGCATTCTGAAATAACTCCTTCTCCAAACACATTTATCTTCATGGCTGCTCTCTCTCTCCGTTTTACACATTATAACAACAATGCTTTACGCATTATAACAATGACTCCTGCAGTTTTACTTCCCCCTCGCCCCTCTTTTGCCCTTCCCAGCCAGTTTTCACTTTCTGTTAATAGGTGAGAATAATCAGTGCTCCCTGCTCTGTGGAAGAGGCAGTGCTTGTCACACTATACTCCAAAGCCATCTAGAAACTGAAACTGAACAACTCCTAATGCAGAGAACCAGAGCCTACTCCATGCTGTACTTGCCCCCACCTCCCTACTGCCAGATGGTGATCCATATTAACTGTTCACTATCGATGCCGGGATGCTGACCAGAAAGGTTACTGGCTTACAGACATCTTATCAAACACACTGCAAAACAGCAGTGGGTTAAGTCACTACAATATTTTAAGAGTCCCACAATTCAATAACAATTCAGAAGCCAATTACACCTACTGCAGAAGACAGGCATCAGGAAAATGATGAATGATTATTTAGGAAACATGTTCTTTTGGGAAAGCTCAAGTACATTGTTTCTTTTGCTTAATGAAAGGTTAACTTAGAAAAATAGATTTTGATAACACCTGAGTCAATATCCTGTCTTGGACTCCAACTGTTCTAATTTGTTATAGTTTGAAGTAGAAGTCTTTAATCACTTGGACACATATGAACTCCTTATAAAAATGATTTGTGGCCTCATATCGCTTGTTATACCTGCTAGATCTTATTAGAGTAATGCAAGCATTACATTCACAGTAAAAATTCACAGTTAGGATTTCTTTTGGTAGAGCTCTTTTTAACTCTGAGGTCTCTGATTCATAGTTACTGCATACAGTTTTTACTATTAAGCCCAAGGGACCTATAAGAGCACTTTTTAAAAAAAAATTATCTTATTTTTTACAGGTGTCCCCAAACAAATAAAGATATTTTAATATAAAACAAACAGTCTTCAAAAGAGCTATTAGCAGCCCCTCCCCCTTTTTCAAAGAAGTTGACTTAATTCAGTGAGACAGCATCCCATTTTTATTTTATAAACCTCTGTCTCCCAAGACATAGAATCAGCAAGTGCAACTCTTCATGTTAGTATACACGCATTTCCCTCTCAGCTGAGAGGGACCTTGCCCTGATTGCTACATTAAAAGCTGGCTTCAATGCTGTTTAAGGATGTCTCAAATAAATCAAAGTGTTCAAAAAATGACACAAAACGTGACCGGTAATACCGCAGAGCTCCAACACGAAGCGCCTCTTCACGTGGCATGTCAGGAAGGCCAGCTCATGAGGCCACTGTGAGGCAATGGCGCTCACTATCCAGGCTCCTTTCAGAGCAGAAATCCTCTAGCAGGTGCTCAGTGTAGGCACGAAGCAGCAGGTCTGCTTCTCTCTCACTCGAGCCGTGCACCAGATGCTGGAGCAAAGAGGCAGCCACAGCAGTGCACTGCCAATGCGAGACACGGAGGTGCCACAGCCTGTGTGTACTGGGGACAGAGGGGGAAGAGAAGAAGAAAAACCTTCTTGGAGCTGAGGCTTGCAGCCTCGTAAGGCTGGCATCAAGCCACAAAGGCAATGAGGGGACTAAACACTAATTCTCAAGGTGAAGTACTATGAATTGCCTGGAAATTTGGAGCTAAAACCTACACACTAACTGATTTCAAGAAAGTTGCTATTGCAGCATTTAAAAATGCCAGTGTAGGTTATAACCCTCTATATATGTGCTTTTTGGAAACTCAGGGCAAGTTTATCAGAGCCAGCAGAATTGCCATCAAATCACGAGATCAATTTTGCTTAACTGTACTACATTAACATTTGTCAAAAAAAAAAAAAAAAAAAGAAGGCAAAGTTTTCACTATAGACTTATTTTTGCGAAAATGCACACCGTATGGCCCAATACAGTTAAGCCACTGTGAAAAGAGGATTACGTTAAAAAAAACCCCCAACAATTCAGGTATCAAAAGTTCACACCAGTCAAACAATGTCTTTGATAGGAAAGAAAAGAATTATTATGGGGCTAACTAACTAACCAGCCTCTCCATCCTGGAAGGCTCTGCAAACAGCTTCATAGCCTCTCCAGGGAGATCGAGTGGTATGTTCAGGACAAAAATGATATCCTGGAAGATGTGAAGGGTCCTGCAACACTAAGTGGGCTGGTTTTTAGAGTGCAGGAGTTCATGGCTTGTCTAATGTTGAATCTATCAGACAATACTGTTGCTTTTTAAGAGAACTTTTTGTGAATTGTCCTCAGTATGCCATGGGTTTTTTTGTTCCTGGTTTTGTTTTTAAGTCTTAATGCAAATAGCTTCCTGGGCATTTGTACAGACTGCCATCTGTATGGGACCAGAGCAGTTCACTGCAGAAATCTATTGCTGCTGCTTCAGCAGAAGCTAGGGCCCTGGGGTAGCTCAACTTCCTTAATATTTTTCTTCCTAGCATAGAGAGTCAAAAAACCCCTAATCTTTGTAGTATAATGCTGTTACATAAATAAAATTCTCTGCAATTATGCACTGAATATTAATACAAAAAAGGTTATCACCTATCTGGTCAGTGAAGAAAAGACAGAATGCCTCTAATTTTCAATTAGGAACAGCTTAAATACCTATTGACTGAGTGAAATTGGCTTATCCCCAGAACACTCTAAATTGCTGTGCCTGTAGATGCTGCTGGCCACTGGGTACCTGAGGTAACCGATAGGGTATCCAAGCACAGTACTGATATGTACGTACATCCAAAGAAGTTACCAGAAGTAGGTTTAGCCATTACAAAAGTTTGGTTTAATCTAAAATTTTTGTTTGCTATTCTGTGAACAGTGACTCCACCTTCCACTCCCATGCTTGATGGCATGTGTTACAGCCCTCCTTCAAACACCCAGCAGGTCTGCCTCAGTGCACTGCCCAGAAAGCCTGCCTAGCTGCGAAACCGTGGGGGAGGAAGGGACACCCATCTCCCCTGCCTCCCCCAGGATAAGGTGGCTTATTTTTCCCTTTAACAACTAATACATGGAGTAAAAATGAAGTAACCCCCTTGGAGAAGATTCCACAGCCCATCACAGAGAGAAGGCAGTTCACTGAACAGCAGTGCTAGCTGTAAAATCCTGCTGGAGCAGCAAAGGATTTACGTGGAGGAGCAAGGTTCAAACCAAGTTGAACCATAACCATGGCATATTGGCACATGCAGGCAGACCTCAATGAGCACAGACAAAACCATGCAGTGACTGTCTAGTGGCACCTTGTAACTCTACAGGTTCTTTCTTCAAAAATTATCCATGAAAGACTTGAGTGCTTGGAACAAGAAAGAATTCCCAGACTTCAAAGTTCTTCCTCATCTTAAATGCTTCATCAGTTATTTTAGGCAATTTTTTTTTCATTTTTATATCAGATTAAATTCAGAAGAGAACATCAGGAGGTAGCTAAACAGGCACACTGCATTGGACAGAAATCAACCCTACTTAGTATTCCTCCCTTTCCTCTAATCAGTTTGACAGGATCTCCCCTATATTAAAATTTTAGTGTACATAATTCTCTTGCATGTAAAGGGTTATTAAACACTTTAATAAATCCTGTTAAGTTCATTTATTTTTTGGAAGATGATAACCTTGGAATAGACTTCTATGAAACTGGAAAAACTGCCAAGAGAAATACTGTCAAGATAACTGTGTAACTAGGTTAAACCTGGATTATTATTACTGTTATTTACATTAAGGAGTATCACTATAGTACCTTTTAAAAATGGATTTGATATCTAACAGTAAGCTATGCTCATTTCTCAGTTTGCTAAATATGACAGAGTTTTAAGAACACTCATTAAATTCAAGATACAACATTTTACATTTAAACAACCCTGCAGACGAATACTTTTCTCCCTATAAAAATCAAAGCTGCACATTTTACTGTGCCACTCTCTCGATTTGGTCATTGATCAGCTGAGAAATAATGGCACAGCACTGGATAAGGTCAGCAGTCCCAAGGTAAGACTGATTTTCCTGGGTAGAAATGAAATTTTCTTGTTGCCTTGATTTGCCTAAGTAAGTCCTAAACATACAAAAAGTGTTCCAACTTTCTCATGTAGCCTTCATTCACGAAAGGCTCTCTTTTATGGAGAGCATAGATGAAAACAACCTACTGTCTTGAAAGGCATGAGTCTGTGTCCCTAAATGAATTAGCTGACGAGCTTTCGCACTTACAGCAGTCTGCAGCAATCCTGTTTCACACCTATAAAAATTGCAGACTGGCTGGTGTCCCCCAACTCTAACAGTGAAAGAAAGGGAAAGGTTTCTTCACTAAAAGGTTGTTATACAAACCCCACCTCCCTATACATGGGACCAGGAAACTCTGTACTGGTTTTGCACCAGCAGTATCAACCAGTTTCCCCCGTAGGGTACACAACGTGGATCTGCACCATTGCAGCCCCGCTCTAGAATGCTCTTCTACCAGTCTTAGGAGGCGTATCAACTGAAGCAAACCAGACGAGCCCAAAGACCCCTCTGCTCTGTTGGCAGAGCTGACCTACCTTGTGTAGTGTCACACATATAAGTAGGACAAGGAAGAACAAGTTCTGTCTTCACTGTTTCATGCCACTGCACTGCAGTGTGTTTGGTGATAGCAAGCCCTCTTACACTCATGGGTGCCATTGCTGACCCTTTGATGAGCCCAAGAGGCATGCACATGCAAACAAACACACACAGAGAACAAGTGTGTCTTTTGGTGTTTTTTTTTTTTTTTTTTTGTTTTATTCACAATGGTATTTAGCCGCAGTAATTTTGAGACAAGCAACCGCATCATTTCACCCTGCGTGCTCCCTGAGAATAAGGCTTTCTGGACAGGGATTTGAGCAGCTGCTGCTTAGAAGAGAATAAAATTCAGACTGCTGGAGGGGGAGGGGAAAGGGGGCAACAAACAACATTTGTTTAAAATCTGGCAGGAGCATCCTAATTAGACGAATTATTGGATGGATCATCAGGACTGCTCCCCAAAGTGACATCGGACAGGAGAGCCCTTAGAGGTCATGTTGATTTAAGACTGCAAAAATGATCCTGAAGAGCACCATCACTGAATGCAGAACACTACAGGCTTTTTTTCTCAAAAAATCACACTTCCCACACAGCATCATTGCTCACTTGCCATGTATATAAAGGTTGTAACAGTTAATCACTTAAACAGGGATAAATATTTATTCAGGGTCTACCTTAACGTTGAATGTTATTTCCTCCATGACGTAAACTCGTTCAGGAAATGCTTTAGCCACCTCCTCCACACTGTTAAAATACTGCACTGGCTCCTTAATATCTCGGTCTTGTTCCAGCAGCTTAAACTGCCCTGAAAACAGATGATAAACAGAAGAGTTGTAAGATATTTATATTGGACAACTGTCACTGTGGCAACTGCTGGCTCAACTTATTTACCATTTTGCTCAGTCAATTTTTCTGGTTATTAGCAGCCAAACATGAAGACGAAAGATTGCAGAGAGTCTTCTGAACTTGCTGTGAAAGACACCCCATTTCACCAGGTCAGAACAAAAAGAACATGTGGGTGCTGAAGTTAAATAAAAAAAGATCCTTTTGTCACATGCTCGCTAGAAATAGTAAATAACTATGGAGGCATTTGTGTTTGTGTACGTAATTCAGTATAATAGTATCTGTACAGATAGCATTTTTTAGCCCTTAATATTAGAAGTTTTACAGAAAGAAAACACACCCATTACTATAAAACCCCAAAACAACAAACATAAGGGTTTTGTTTTTGTTTTTAGCATCATCAAACAGCTATTAAAAAATGCTAGGCTAAAACCCTTTTCCCCCTAGGCTTCCCTAAGAGTGGAATAGCACCTAACTTTCCTTAATCATAAATTAAGCCCTTTGAGAACTTTAGCTAACATAAGAAATTAAACCATACACGTTTAAAACATTTTGAAGGTGGTCGCCTTCAGAAGAGCATTAGAAAGAAGTGTTTCTTGCTGACTTTACCTCCCTCCAGCATGAAAACCTTGGCTATTTTCTAAGTCTTGTAAAAGGCAAGAACTAACACGGAGGCAGCTGCCCCAGGCAGACCTGCCAGGGACAGCCACGTACATCAACCACCTCTCTGCACTACAAGCACAAAGTTTAAAAGCTTTCTTTTATAAACACAGCGATAACGAAAGCTTAGATGGGCACATTTGCTGCTTGTATGACTTAAACTTAAATCAGTGGAACAATCTTCCTAAATTTAGAAACACTAACCACTACTAAGTTAAAGGCTGGTCTCAGCCAGACAATAGCATGGCTAGACTTGATGTAAGAAGCCACTCCAGAAAATGAGAAAAAGGCTGAGTAAAATCAATGGTTAGTGCATCTCCTGTAAATCATATTTTAAAATTAGCAATGCACGCAGCCACTAGATTATTGTTCCCAAACAGTGCTCAACCTCATTAAAATACATCCAACACATCAATACGTCAGCCACCTACAGAAATATTTTCTCACTCCTTCAGCATTTTTGTGCACAACACCCTGCTGCCCCTATACATCCCATCAGACTTGAAACTTTTGTGACATGTTCAGAGAATTCACCCACACTAAACTATTTCAGGCCACCTAGCAGCAGAGGAGGAAAAGAATGCAAGCTCAGCAACTCCTGACACCCCATGAAAAAGACCTGTCCCGCCACCCTGCCAGGTGTGTGCACACACGTGTACACACACACACCCCAAGAGAGGTGCAAGACCAAGAGGCTCAGCTCCTCCACCGAACCCCAACAACCCTGCTGGCAGAGGCACACTCTTCTTTTCATCAGTATGCTCGAGTGCTGTGGTTGTAAGCCTCAGTATCAACTTACAAGACAGAAGACTTCCTTTTACTCCCTTCCATACGTTTTGTCTTTCTAAGTGACCTCAGTAACTGTGAAGTATTATCAGCAGGGTAACTAAAGATGCTGGTACTTCCCAATGCAAGACCGTATTTTGCAAGTGTTTAATAAGCTTCACCACACTTCAAGAATCAGTTGCCTTGGAGTTTTCCTAACTTCATGTCTGCTTCAGGACATGCTATTATTGGAAGTTCTGCCAAGACAATTCAGGTACTTCAAAGACCAACACTAGAGTAGAAGCAGCAGGACCTTTGGTCTGACCTCCTGAAGCCATTCCCATATATTACAGCAACGTAGTTGACTACAGGAATGGCTTCTCCAGGTCAGACCAAAGGTCTGCCTCGTGCAGCATTCTGCCTTAGACAGGAGCAAACGACAGCTGTATAAGGAGGACTTTAAGCACATTTAGCAATACCACCCAGAATCTCCTCCACACCTCTAGGAGGAACTCATGGCTCAAGGATGCCCAGAGCAGGGAAGAGGTATCTTTGGGCTTAGTAGCTCCAGAGGTTTTCTTCCCTGTAAATTTGTTTAATTGCTTACTGAAGGTTATCTAAAACTTTCGTTGTAGACACACCCTCTATCTTGAAAAATTCTGGCAACCTCTTCTTCCACAGACTTTACAGTAGCTCCAGGATTAAGAGTAGAAATTTTAGGAGTGACTAAGCTATGCCTGGCAGACACTATGGGTAGCTACAGGAAAACTGACAGTGGACAAGCATTTGGAAAAACATTTCACATACTCTATAGAAACATGCCAGCATCCTAAAGCTGAATTTGTCAGCCTGCCCGCTCTGAGCGCCTTTCAGTGCAAAGTGATAGAGGGGCCAGGCAGCCGGCACCTCCAGGCTCAAGGAATCTGGACAATTAGCAGGGAGGTGCTCACAGTTAACTGACACTGGAAAGCGTGTTGTGACTGATGCCCGAGGCTCAGACAGGGAGAGATGAAGAGGGGAGAACTGTGCTTTTTAATCCCCAGTCTGCCATACAGACCATGTAAGTCCTGGTTTCAGGATTTCCCTGTCAGCCACAGCCTAACCAAGAGGAAGGTGCATTCCCCCGCACCGCAGGTCCTTCCCCCTGCGGGCACCCCACTTTCCTGCAAAGGAAATTCAGGAGTAGGGGGGAGCTGGGTGAAGTCAGACCTCCTCCTACGTGGAGCCAGGATGTGCCAGGACATCATGCAGCAGCAGAGACTGAGTTGCACCAGGGAGCACCTGACAGCACAGAAAAACTACTACTCTAGAGCATAGAGCCAATGACCATATTTCACAGATAGCCACCAAGGGCAAGATGTTCTTAAATTTTACAGAAGTTGTCACACAGTGTTGGTTCACTGTGAGCTGACCTGAGGCTGTTCCTCTCTCCTGCTTACTTCTCAATTGCTGTCCTCTTTGACTACTGACACAGCCACCTGGATGCAACTCTAATTGATTGCCCAAATTGGGATCCAGGGGTCTGATTTGCAGCATTCCCAGCTGTGGTTACTATTAGAGGCAAGCTGTGATTACAATTTATAATGGCATTTCATACTTTTAAGTTCCACAAAGAAAAAAAACAAAACCACAGCAAGTTTGAGTCACTTCAGACAGATCTAAGTCCAGTGGGGTTACTTCTGATTTAACACTCCCCCCTTATGTACAGAATGGAGTTGAATATGATACTGCATGGAAGCTACATAGTGTTTTGAAACTGTGAGATACTGCAGTGATAAAATCTTGCTAGTTCAGAAAGAAATTGAAAACTCACTTCAGAGCGGGAATTGAGTTGGGCACAGTAACAAAGCATGAATTCACATGAACAAGGAAGGAAAACAACATACTGAATAATAATACATTATATGAACAATACCCATCCACCACTTTGAATGAGACAGTGGTCTTTAATTCTAGGTTCTCTAGTTACTCTGTTTGGAAGCATAGTAATACTATTTTACTATGACTGCTACATATTTAACAATAGATAGTCTGGTGGCAAGAAAAAGCCAGTTACCCATTGCAATACAAACTTCTACAGAAAAGTCCCAAATTCCTCAGCACAGAACAAATGCTTTAGGCTGTGTGCAACTGGGATGGAGCTTTGCTTCGGTACAAAGAGATGCTCAGAACCGTCTATGTCGCTATCTGTGCCATCCTCCCCTTCCTTCAGCTAAGCCGTGCAAACACAAAGCCGTCTGTGCTTTCGCTGCTAATAAGCAGCAGTTCACGAGGAGGTTGACTACAGAGGAGTACATACAGATCCCAAAGCATATAATAGAAGGGCAGCGTTAATCTCCTCCTGTTACGAAATCAAGAAGTATGCTGTGCATGGAAGCTGTCAGGGCTAGATGTTAAAATGCCTCTCCTTTGGAAAAGATGGTTTATAACTGGAGATTTTCTATAGATGGTTTTTAAAAATTTATTTCCTCATTGAAAAAGACAGACTTTTTTTACGGGAAGGGGAGAAAGAAGGGCTGAAGAGGGGCCTGCAATACACATTTGAGCCAGATGTCAACTAACTAACTAATGGGGAGGAAGGAGACAATTTCTTACTATGTTTCTCCCTGGTCTCTATTCAAGCTGCCATAAAAAAAAGACAGCATGGCTGAAATACAAGTTAAATGGACGTAAGTCTAGCTTGACTGCAAGTTAAAGTGGAATTTTATTACACTTCACAAGAGGCACGACTTCATTGGGAGACTTTACAAAACTGACATCAAGCTTAAACAAATCACAAGGCAATTTAACTGTGTGTTAATTAGGAGTTCAACAAAAAAGTAAAGAAAATCTAAAGCTAAAACTGTACTGTTATAGAAGTTCACCCCTCTCTTACTAGCACAAAAAGAATAATGAAATGTTTCTCTAGTAAATCATTACAGGTTCAGAAAGATCAAAGATTTGTAATACCTACACGGTCCACTGAGCAGGTGTAGTTACTCCTTTGCAGCCAAATGCAAGGGAGTAATGAACAACTACTGCAAGCTTTATATCTCTTTACCTTTCAATCTGGCCTCTGGCAGGCACAGTATTGCAACACTTTCATTCTAGTATATATTATCTCTGCAGAATATGAATTCTTATTTCCCTGTGAAGGTACTTACAGCAAAGACAGTAAATCCACTACTGCTGGAAATGAGTCCGGAAAGATAAAAAGGCAGGGAAAGACCTAAACCAGGGCTTATCCTCCAGTTTATGGAGGCATTTATTAAAACCCAGTAGGAGCAGGAAGATCAGTTCATCTTCCTTCTTGCCAGAAGTTGGCCCTGCAATATCTGCAAGCAGGGGCATTAACCAGCCCTTTCTGTCCCAGCCTTCATGTTGCTTCTCCTGCTTAGGCTCTTGCAGGCTTACATACCTTCACAACTCTAAGCCACCTCATACAGGTTATTTCTGTAATGTAGGATCCACTGGTCTTCGCAGTGACTTACACCTCACCACCAAATAGTGCAGCAATTTCCAACAGTCCAGAATGTTTCCAAGACAGAAACATTCCTT